AGGATATCAGATGGTTTGCACAAACCCAAAGCACAACCCTGTTGGGCAGCCCCTTTGCACCAAGAGCCGAAGTGACCGATTTGCAGGTGGAACAGATGTCTGCCTCAGAATGTTGAAACAATGGGCAATTATGGGTGCTGACGCGGCAACAAAGGAAGAACACAATGTCATGTGGACTTCAGTCTTGGCCTCCTCAGACCTGTGGACTGAGGAGAGGCTTGAGGCATCCAAAATTCGCAGGTGGCCAGAGCCAGGTTCTGCGTCTGGACCTTCTTCCTCCAGCGGGGTGACCAAAAGAACATCAAATTGACCAAGCCAAGCGTGCGATTTGCGCCGCTTTCTCGACTCTCGACTTTCGAAGCTTGTCTGGAAGAGGGGCAGTGCAGAAAAATGCGGTGTGTTTGAAGGCTAAGGCAGCCGTTTTTTTATGTTTCATGGCTGGCAGCTGGGCCCTGGCCCCAGGCTCCAAATCCTGGCATGAACTTCCAGTCGCAATTTTTTGAAGACATTGATTTTTCGATGGCCTTTCCTCCACGGAAGGTTTGAATTTAAAATTTCCGACTTATGGACCATGCAGAAGCAGCAGCAGTTCTCACAGGCAGAGAGGAGAGTGTCAGACGAAGAAGAGTCAGAGAAGTGAAGGGAGAGTCAGAAGAAAAAAGAGTCAGCGAAGAGAGAGTCAGAAGAAAAAGAGTCAGAGGGTCAGAGAAGAGAGAGTCAGAAGAAGAAGAAGCAGAAGAGTCAGAGAAGAGAGAGTCAGTGGGCAGAAGAAGGTAGACAGAAAGACAGATAGACAGGTAGCCAGATAGAGATAGACAGATATAGACAGATAGATTCATAGACCGAGAGACAGACAGATAGATGGGATGGACAGATAGATAGATAGATAGATAGATAGATAGATCGAAAGATAGATAGATAGATAGACTGATAGATAGACAGACAGACAGACAGATAGATAGATAGATAGATAGATAGATATAGCAAGATAGACAGAAAGATAGATAGAAGGGAAGATAGGTAGGTAGATAGATTTTTAGAGAGGTAGATTGAAAGACAGACAGATAGATAGACAGATCGATAGATATGACCGACAAGAGAACAAGGAGAGAAAGCCCAGTCCATAGGTCCAGAAGTCTAGCCTTGAATAGGTTGAAACTTCTGCAACCGCCTTGTGCCGCACTACTGACACATTTGCAGTGGACATAGAGATTTGCACGCCGAGATTGTCGAACCATACAGTTTTCAATCATTTCGAGACAAAAGGCAAACATTTTCGAGTTCTTTGAAAATGTTTGATTTTTGATGGCTGGATGTACTGCCTCGAAACTGCCTCGAAACTGCCTCGAAACTTGCTCTTGGCAGAGTGTTCCCAGGGAGGATTTCTTTGTGTGGGCATCCTTTGACTGCATGATTTTGATTATTTTTCCGACGCTCAGACAAAGCATTTTCATCCTGAATCCCATTGATTTGAGAGTCGCATATGGTTTTTTTCCCGAATCCACACGTGGCAGGAATGTTCCTCGAAATTCCTCGAAATTGAATTTTCCTCGATGCACGTTTTCTAAGATTTTTCTATTTCCTTTCCAATTCTCCTTCTGAAGCTCACACCGTGCCACATTTTCATATGTTCATCTATTGCCGTATTGCCGTGCTGCATTCATTCCTCTTGGCTCAGTGGCTCTAAAAGCCCATGGTTTCACAACAGGCCCAACAGGCCTGTAGTGGCAGCGCTGGCTTTTGAGCTCCGCTTGCAGGCTTGCAGCCTTGGTCCCTTGGTGGTGTGTGTGCGTGTGAGGCTTTGAGGCTGCGCGGCAGCTTGGGGCTTTCCAGCTGGTTCAAGCATAGATGGAGGACGATGGAACCCTTGCCACTGTTGAGCCTTCAGAAAAGAGGCCAAAACTCGCCAGGAAGGGTGGGATCGTCTTTCGGTCGCGGTCCTCTGCATTGCCAGTGGGTCCCACCACTTTTGAAGGCTTGATGGACTGGCCATCTTTTGTTTTGCAGGAGGTCATGACGGATGGGAGCCGAAGGCAGAGACTTCTATGGTTGTTCCGGATGGGGTTATCTGTGACCACTGCTTACAGCGGCATGGATGCCCCACGGGAAGCGCTGACCCAACTAGCTGAAGCCATGAGGGTGAAATTTGACTTCTGGCCACAGATCGAATATGTCCATTCGTGCGACATTGCAGAGCTACCACAGAAAGTTTTGCTTTGGCTGGCAAAGGAGAAAGACTTTGGCATTAGCTGTGTCTTTTCCGACCTTGAAGATCGTCTACCAGAAGATGCCAAATCTTTTTTGCAGAGCACTGAGCCCGAAAGTACGTGTGATAAGGCTGAGAAAGCAGAAGCTTACAAGAAAATGTGGGAATACTTGCGTGATAACAGACACGCGTGCTTCCACCAGCTCAGCACTAGCCAGTGTTTGGTTCACCAGAGGCAGTGCAGAGTGCTTGGGCCATCTGCAGAAGCAGATAGCCAAGAAACCCCGAGCTTTTCTCCTGGCCAAAGTCAAAGCTTAGTGCCCCAAGGGCCTTGGAAGCCATTCAAGCTCAACATAGCAGGCACGGTTTGCAAAGGTTGGAGCATGGCAGGAGGACGAGCCATGTTTTCTCATCCGAGTGAGCGCCCGCATGCCATCTGGCTGGCAGAACGTTTGGCGCGGGTAGAGAATGGTGCCGAAGATGGGTTTGTCCAAGAGTGCACAGTTGCCTACCCAGCTGACACGAAACTTCGCGCTCAATTAGAGGAGACGCATGAGGTCAAGGTGGTGATTACTGGGCCTGAAGCCCAAGGTTGGCCAACATCTCGTCCCCGTAGCTTCACCTTTGGCTTCAACAAGCAGAAGTGGGTTTGGGTGGGGCCAAGCACTGACATGGCGATCCAACAAGAGTTTGATTTTCTTTTCTCGAGGAGTACGGAGTTGACAGGAGATGTCTTCTTCCAAGCAAGCATGGAGACGGTCCGGTCAGACGTGTTTGCACGTTTGAAAAAAAGAGGCGGTGCGGCTGATGTTGGACAGGAGCTGAGGTTTGACCGCAGCTTCTTGGATGAGATGCTTCCTCCTGGGGCCTTGCAGCGTCTTGCGCAATATGAAGCGACAAGGCCCGCCAAGCAAGGGATTGAGAGCGGAGCCTTTTTGTGTGATGTGCAGCAGTGGCCAGAGGCAGGCTGCAGCACGGCTGGGCCATTCTTCCCCTGCCAGTTGACACATGCTACAGTGGTCTCTTTGAACAAGATGCGGCCGGCAGTTGGTTTGGAGTACTTGGCAGCGCAAGGCTTTCATGTTTTCCCTAAACCAGGGGATGTTCACTCTGCTGTTGCGCTGCCTCTGCTGAAAGATATGCCAACAGAGAAGCTCGTGGCCCTCAGCGGCAACAGCATGTCTTTGCCAGCGCTCTCAGCTTGGATGGTTTATGCGCTGAGCAACATTCAGCGTGTAGAGCAATTTACTGTTCAGCCTGAGTTGAACATGCTGGTGAAAGGGTCCAGTAGCGAGTTTGCAACACCCTCGAAGAAGAAGACGGAGACCGAAACCAACGCCAGTCCCGCTGCTGCCGCTGCTGCTCAGGACGGTGGACGACCGGCGAGCTGCATGGCTAGCCCTAAGGTTGTTACTGTTGAAGACTGAGGGAACCATACCCGAGTCCTAGCCTGGCCAAGACTGTTCCAGGCTCCAGACTCCAAAGACTTGGCCGTCACGACAGAGATTTGGGAGTGAAAAGTTTTGCTGGGAACTGTGAACTTCAGAAGTGCACCTAGGTTTCTTGTAACCCATTTCAGTCTTGTCACTGTCGAACCAATGTTGGCACGGTACTTGTGCTTTGCAAGTCTTTGCAACTTGTTTTGACATGGGAAACTAAGGACGATCTTTTACCATCAAACATGTCAGTCCAATTGGTGAAAGGAATTAAGTTTAAAAGTTAAACTTACGACGCATGGACACATGCAGACACAGCAGTTCGAACAGGCAGAGAAGAGAGAGTCATAAGTCAGAGAGCGCGAGAAGAGAGAGTCAGAAGAAGAAGAAGGATCAGAGAAGAGAGAGCCAGAGGAAAGAAGATCCAAGCGAGCCACATGCTAGGGAAGTCATGAAATATGGTTTTTTCGATGCATGGTGATTATACGGAGGGTGGAAAGTAGGCAAAGTAGGCTCGCTAAAGCGGCGAGTGTGGCGCCATCTGGTGGGATGATCGTCCGAAAAGTGCACATGACTGTGGCACGAAGCACATGTGGAAGTGAAAAGTGTCAGCTATCAGCAACGGTCAACCGAGTTAACTTTTGGAACTTAAGTGGTCCAACAAGTGCGCATTTAGAAATGAACAGTTTCCAACTTTGCCAGGGTGGGAGCGCTTGTGGAACTTGAGCTTTGGAAACAGTGCGCGTGATTGTGGCGCGCGCGAAGCCGCAAAGCACATTTCGAAGTGAAAAGTGTTAAAGACCAGAGCGCTTTTGGAAGTTGACCTGTCAAAAAGTGCACGTGACTGTGGTGCGAAGCGTGCGTCCAATCAAAAACATGCGGTACCACACACATACAGCCACACAGTGTTCTGCAGTAGCACACCCTAATGTTTTGATCCTGCCTGCTTTGGACCTTTTTCCGATTTGCATCTAATGTTTGTGTGTGAGGAGAGAGACAGTGTTTTACATGCAGCGCAACATCAGTTTGGGAGAAAATTGGATTCAAGATTCCATGATTCTGGCTAGTGTCTGAGTCTTGGACTGTTTCTGTTTGTGAAGTGGGCCCTCTTCTCTTGTCATTTGCACTGCATGGTAAATGATAACCAACGTGCCTGCCGGGATTCCAAATTTCAAAACTGCAACCATCCCTTCGTAGCCGGGCAAACCCGGGCAGTTTTCACATTGAGTTCCAAAGCGCAGGGCAGTCATAGAAGCAGGGGCAGCAGTGCGCCGGCCCGGCCGACAGCATTGTTTTGTTTGCTGTGATTGCACGGACTGTGCGCTACCTGCTGTAGGTAGCTTTTCCAAGAGTTCAAGATGGAATTTGATGGTGGCGACGGCGACGGGGAACTTGCAGCTGCTCCAGGGAATGGCCGCAAAGCCCGAGGGAAGGCCAAGGCAAAGTCCGGCGGCGGCGGTAGCAGGCCAGGCAAGGGGCCCTGCGTAGCGTGTGAAGAGCCCCGGCATGCCAACACCAAGTTTTGCAAGAACCACAAGCGGGCTTACGATGCCATGGCGTACCAGGCTAAGAAGGCAGATCAGAATGGTGAAGATGGTGCTTTAGCAGCTTTCAACCAGTCAATGCAAGATGACTTCAGTGCTAAGCAAGCCTTAGAGATATGGACAGAGAAGAACCCGCCTGACAGCCGTTATACCCGGAAGGCTTTCATTGATTGGGCTGACTTCAGGAAGACCTTTGGCCAGAGAACAGAGATCATCGACCGGTCAAAGTGCAAGCCAATGTGGGAAGGGGAGTTCATCCAGTGGGCAACCACTGAGAAAGCCCTCCCCAAGTCTGAGGCTGAGCAATGGTGGAAAAAATTTTACAATAACCCTCGCATAGAGAGAGACAACGAAGGTCCGAAGGGCCGTCTGCAGCTGTGGGTCCCAAAGGGCCAGTCTCGCCTCACTGACAAGGCACGCTTCAGTGAGAGCACGACGACCCAGGGCAGCAAGCCCTTGAAGGATCCCAAGGCTTCTGATATAGAGATGTTGCAGGATCACGTGAAGAGGCAGCAGCAGAGTGTGGTAGATCCTTTTTTCTGTGGTGCGAGTGGAGCTTCAGGATCAGCCGGATCCGGATCAGCCAATTCTGCAAGTGCAACCCCACAGAGGCCAAAGTCACAACCGTGTGATCTTGCGGTCACGTCAGAAAGCCCTGCGGCAACGCCAGGGAAAGGGCCTGTGCCCAAGCGTGCGAGGATCGATGTGGACCGTGCAGGTCCTAAGCTGTTGACATCCATGAAAAAAGACATGGAGACTCTCAAGAAAAATTTCAAAAGCGCCAAAGACAAGGCTGCAACGGCCATGACCAATCTGGACAAGGTAGATCTGGAGTTGATCCGAGATGATTTGGCACTCTTTGGGCTCCTGCGGTCCTTGGACCTTCGGGTGCACTTCCTTCACCGCTGGGAGGAAGGTGCCCCCGAGCAGACTGTAAAGGAGCATTCTTTTGCAGTGAAGATTCAAGGGCGCTGTGCGAAGGAGACCGGGGAAAACGGAGAGAACAAGTTGACTGAGCAATCTGCAACACTGGTCAGGCAATCCGTGGCTGATTTTGGCAAGATGCAGAAGCTCAACTTGGACGAGATTTTGCAGGAAAACCAGGCACGGCTGCCATTGAAAGAATCAGAGAAATTTGCCAACATGAAACTTTTAGATGACAAAATGCAGATGGCTCTCTCTTTGAAAAGCACCCAAGAATTTGAAGCTCTGAAAGCTGAATGGCAGGGATTGAGTGGAAGTGCTCTTTCGATGTTTACTTCAATTGGCAAAATCGCCAATGATGTCTCCGAGCACTTGAACACCAAGGGGCGAGAAGCCCAAAGGCAAGAAACTCGCAGGTTGACTCAGGAGAGGCAAGCTGCCTTGAAGGCAATTCGTGACCAGGCGAAAGCAGCTGCTGATGAAATTAAGGCCAAGCCAAAACAGGTCACCCAGGCACCTGTTTTTGGGATTGATGTTTTGGCGCAAGGCATCGACTCAGTTAAGATCTTGGAAGTCGTTGAAGATAAAGTTGGAGGGCCTTGGACAGAGCCATGGGTAGTGATGAACTGGTCCCCTGGCCTCAAATGCCTTGCTGATCTGAGCATCAAAAAGTCTTTGGACACATTTGCTTCTCAGTACAAGAAGTTGGGAGATCCATCTGGGAGGCACCAGTACAGCTTGCAAACCGGTGCTGTGAAAGACATGGTGGATGACACTCTGCAGCTGGCCATGCCATCTTCTTGGTTTGACCTTGCCGAGCATGGCATTGCCGGCGGTGATAAGTTCATGGCGGCCAGCTGGTTCTACGGCTATTCGCCAGGCATGAGCTTTTGTGGGCTGCAGCCCAATGCAGCAGCGCAGCTTCGTTTGCATTACTCCAAAGGCTCTGTGCAAGTCCTTTTGATCAGCCTTACCAGCCTTTGTGAGAAGATGTTGGACGAGGCAGCACGTGATTCTTTCACGGCAGCCCACAAGTTCGTCACCAACATGACTGAGGAGACGATTGCTGCCTGTAGGGAGAAAGGTGTGAAGATGTGGGCTCACAGCCTTGGACCGGAGGAACTTTTGTTCCTTCCCACAGGGATTCTGAGCGTAGAGTCTTGTGCGGCGGCTTGCGGAGAGGTTTGCGGAATTAGGAAAGCCTTCTTCCCCCTTGAGGCTGAATCAGTGAAGGAGTACAATACAGTCTTGACCCAGTTCCAGAAGGATGGGCGATCAATTGGTCAGATGCAAGCCATCCTGGACGGATTGAAGAAAGCCACCGGCCATGGGCAGGCATGAAAGTGCCCGCCCCCAAGGGGCCTGGGCCCAAGATTTTGCTTTTGTGTGGGGACTTACTTTTGCATTGCACATGCAATTGGGCAAGGTGTTAAGAAAGGAATTCGCAAAGCTGCTTGGTCGGCTTGGTTCTTTTGAATTTAGATGTGGAAGCCGTTTGAGCGTTTGAGCTGTGTGATTTCAATCATTGCTTTCTGTCAATTCATATTCTTTGCCAGCCTGGCTGCCAGCATTTTTTCATTTTGTTTCAATCTGTCGGACGCAAGAAGCAATTGCCACCTGGCAACAGGAAATCAACCCTTCATCTGCAGCATTTCCACTTTTCAAGAACCGGCCGCCGGCCGACCGGGCCGACTGGGACTTCCGCTTTCTTTGGACCCTGGGCGTTTCAGGCCAGGGCGGGAGCCAGCAAGACCAATATTTTTAGGTGTTTTTGGCGTTGGCGAATATAGAGCCATATAGGTGATAAATCATAAATCATAGGGACCCCCAACTCCCCAATGTTTAGATTTCCAACTTGTTAAAAATAGATAGCCTGTAGTAACTGTAGTAGTGTTTGGACCTTTCGCAATAATTTTTCAAAGGGTGAATGTTTAGGTTGTTTGGGCCGTTGACAGCCACTGTTTGAATTTGAATGTCGAGAGTCTAGACTCTGGACTCACATGGGCGGTGGGCGGTTATGAGTCCTGTCAGAATATATATTTGCCATACTGTTTCTTCCGGACCCACAACAACAATATTTGGCAATATTCATTCTTCACAGCGTGCTGGTGGCAACCTTCTGGAGCAAAGCTCTTTGCTATTGAAAGGCGCCACGGAGGCGAAGCCTGTGACCTGCTACCATTGGCGCGGGGAGAGTTTGAGCTCATCTGCTACCTTTGGCGTGGGGGAATTCAGTATGGGATGCTGAATTTCACCTACTACCTTTGGCGCAGTGAGTTCCGAACTTCTCACCTGCTACCTTTGGCGCGGGAACGGCTTTGACCTTGCCACCGCTGGGGCCAGCGGTTGGGTTAAGCATGCATAAGCATGCAGCTCACACCTTCGTTTGCTTCATGTTTAGTATTTGTCAGTCAGAAGGCCATTAGCTTTTCTCCAATGATAGTTTCAATTTGTTTTTCACATGTTGCTCAACCTGACCCTCAGGACGTGGCAGCAGCCCTGGGGCATGCCGCCCCCAAGCAATCCGAAGCTTGGGGTAGATGAAATGTCTTCCTACTACACGTCAGAGGAAGAGGAGGGCCAGGGAGGAGATGGAGAAAGACCGGATGCAGCTCCAAATCCAGCCCCGGCTGCCCCGGCTCCGATGGTTCCGGCAGCTCCGACGGCTCCTAAAGCAGTGCCACGGCTAGAGCTAGAGAAGCCTGCCGAGACTTTGGAGACCAGAAAGGCAACTAGCCCCACACGCACTCCAAGCAGGAACCGCCCTTGCAGCCGCCGCTCCAGGTCGAGGGATCAGAAGAGGGGCAGGTCGGTCAGGTTGACAGAGAATTCTTCTCTGCATCTGCCGCATCATGTCCCCCGCTCTCCTCCCCCGAGACGCAGCCAGCGTCACCGGCACCGTGGACACAGCCGGGGCCGTCGCCGCAGCTGCAGTAAGCTTGCAAGAAACCGAAGAAGGCGAGATGCCCATGCCCGCAAAAGCAAAGACCGAGACCGCCGAAGCCGAGACGGAAGTCGAACGCCTTTGAGGAGGAGCGCGCATCACCCAGGCCAGCCGGTGCAGCTGAAGCCGAAGCCTGCACGTGGAAAAGATGATGCTGGCCACGGTTCCTACGTGCAATGTGAGTTGTGTGCAAAGTGGCTGCCCAGCTTAACGGCTTTGGCACAGCACCAACGTGACAGCAGCTACTGCATGGAAAAGCAAAATAAAGGTTCGGCCAAAAGTCCTTGCCCGGGTTGTGGAAAGCCCATCACCAACCAGGACTGGGCACTGAAGCAACATTTTATGACCAGCCCAAGCTGTGCTCCCAAGGATGACAATGAGGACAATGATGGCCCAACAGCAAACCAAAGAGGTTGCCTGAGTTGCCGGGCTTGCCTGCCAAGGCCAAGACTGGGCTGCCTGTCGCGACCAAGCTGGAGCTGGAGGAGGCGCTGCCACCACCGCCTGCTCAAGGCGCTGGGCCGGAGAAGGAGGTGGTGCAGCAGGACTCGTTGGCTTCCAGCTTTGGCAATGCTGGTGGAAGCACTCAGACTGAGGATCGGAACGCCCATCTGGCCAGCTTGTTCTTGAACTTGGGTCATTTGATGATGAAGAAGTAGAAGCCTTGGCCGTGACGACTTACTGGGACCCCCCACTCTGACTCACTTGACTTGTGCGGCTAAAAAAGTTGTGGTCAAGCTGCGCATCTTTTTGACACAATCTATCACACTTTCAATTTTGCAAAAATAAAGCAGCAGGCTTGCAATTGACCGCGATGCTTTCCATGTTTTCGAAGTTGAAGTTTCGGACATTGAATGTTTTTGCGGCGCGTTTCCATGGGGTTCCTGTGTTTCAACGTTAGCTTAAACAAAATAAAACCTTTGGAAAGCCTTGGGGAAGCTGTGAAGTCATAGGCCATAGACGGCGCAGCCTGTATCTAGTATCTAGGTTTCATTCGCCGGGAGCTTGGAAAACCTTGCGGCCTGTAACTTTTTGGTTTCCAAGTTATTAGAAGTCTAGTTTCAACTTTCAGCCCACCACCCGCCGTAACAAATTGTCCATGTAGAATCTCGTAGAATTGTTCATGTGGTGAGCTGGCAGGCTGAGGTCCGGCAGTGCCCACTGTGATTGAGAGCTGGCGGTTGAGGTCCGGCTGTGCCCAGTGGGATCCAGAGAGTGCGGTTGAGGTCCGGTAGTATGCAGCTGTCGCGCAAGGTGGCACAGTTTTCAGATCTCAACCACCACAGTAGACAAACATGTCTTTGCCCATCAGGCACAGGCAGGCATTACACAGCTGCCCGCTGGTAGGGATTCTAGGTCCATACCAAGCAAAGCGGAAAATTACCAGGCCACATCACAGCTTAAACCCGTGGCAAGCACAGCATTTCAGAAGCAAACAACCACACATCTCAACCTGTGGCAAATATTGCAAACAAACACGGCCACCTCACAACTTAAACCCTGACAACTGCGGTACTTGACAAACAAACATGGCCACCTCACAGCTTAACCTAGACAGCTTAAACGCTGGCAGGGGCAGTAATTCAGAAGCTAACATGGCCACTACACAGCGTAAACCCTGGCAGGGTTTAAGCTGTGGGGTGGCCATGTTTCCTTTTGAAATACTGCGCCTGCCAAGGTTCGTGCACAGAAACCTACCGTGTAGTGCCACAACTGGCGGCACTACACGCTCACCCTCTGTGATTGGCGCGACGCAGAGCGCAAATACTGCGCCTGCCAGAAAAATCGGCACTAAACGCTTTACACTGTGGTAAAACAGCGATTTTTAGGTGCGACCGTTTGGGCGTGTGGTACCCCACTAAACGCTCCGCGCTGTGGCTGGAGATCCCAGGCATCCACTATTTTGACGCACACCGCCTGCAACCATTACGCTCCCCAGAGACGGAGTGTCTGCTATATGCCACTTTCTGGTTTCGTCCAATCCTCTCCGAGCTCATTGTGGCAGCCAGAGAGAGTGCAGAGGTAAACCGAAAACGTGCCCGTCACGAACCAGCCCCACTCGCGGCGTCACACTGGGGTCGACTTGGTTAGTGGTACTACGGCCTTATTGGCGTGGTTTCCGGCGAGCTGGACCAGCAAGATCGCGCCATGTTTCTTAGAGGAAGCTGGCGGTAACACCCAAGCCCCACAGGAGGTTTCCTTCGCATTGGAGTAGTTTCAGGTACTGTGGAGCCTTGTTTGTATGTTGGTCGAATGGTTGGCAAAGATCAGGCACCCATCGTCATCATGGCGTACGTCGATGATTTGCTTGTTGCCACCACTTCGGAATCAGCTCTCAAGACCCTCATGACTGCACTATCAGCTCATGTCAAGGTTCGAGAGACTGGCCGCGTTGGTTTGAAAGGGGGACACTTGCGTTTCCTTGGTCGAAGTATCTTTCGAAGGCCAGGCTCATCTGCTTTGTACATGCAGGTGGATCCAACGTACTTGGATGAAGCTTTTGCTGAGTTTGATTTGAAGAAGGGAAGCACAACATTTCCGGATTTGCGTCCCATTCTGGAACAGGAAGGAAGCCAACCATTGTCAGCAGAAGGACATGCACGTTTTCGCAGAGTTCTAGGTCGTTTGTCATGGTATTGCCAAACTCGTCAAGACTTGTTGATTTTGGTCAGCATGCTTGGAACTGGTCAGGCACAACCGTTTGAGACCCATGAAAAATGTTTGCGTGCTGTACTCAGGTATCTTATGACTGACATGGATGTTGCATTGCGTTTTCCATCAGAAGAGCTTGCTTTGCCCGATGTGAAAGGTTTGGAAGTGTACACAGATGCTGGGTTTGCACCCATGAAAAGTACTGGACGTCGTTCTGTTTCAGGTACTTGCTTCATCTTTCAACAGTGTTTGATGAAGTGTTTCAGCAGGCACCAGTCAGCTGTGACGCTCTCCTCCTGTGAGGCTGAGCTTGTTGCATTACAGTCAGGTGTTCAGGAAGGAATCGGCTTGCTCAGGACTTTGGGTTTTGTGCTTGGTCGTTTGTACCCATGGGTTGACATTATCCCTCAGGACGCTCAGGTGACTTGGTATGACGAAGCAGAGTCTGATGACGAAGACTCTATGAAAGTTTCATACTTGTTTCCACTGGTCGTCAGGACCGACAGTTTGTCAGGGAAAATGCTTCTCGAAGCATCTGATTTGCAACGAAAGAGCCGACACATTGAGATTAAAATTTATTGGCTCAGGGAGTTGATGGATCGCAAAGTTTTGCTTTTGTCGCACGTTCCAGGAACTTTGAACACAGCAGATTGTTTTACCAAGTGCTTGCCAACTCAGAAGTTTTTATTTTACAGGAACATGCTTGGATTTGTGAAAGTTTATTTCAGTTTGATTTCGAACATCCTTGGTTTTTGCTTGAAAGTTTGTGACAACAGTTATTCAAAACCAATTTCATGTTTGTCAAACAGGAACTGCGTTTTGTGCGGAGAACGTTTGATTTCGTTTGTTTTGGAAGAAGAACTGCAAGTTTCAGGAGATCAGAGATCATTTCGTCATGTGAAAGCTGTGTTTGCTCAAGAAAGCTTGACAAACCCGGACAGTTTGCCTCTTGCTGTCGCGCTGATGGCAGAGGAAGAGGACAACAAGTCCATGGTGTCTGGGTTGACCCGTGTCGATTACACGACAGGGAGACCTCGCCAGGATCCAGAGACTGGTGAAGTGATGAGAAGAGATGAAAGGGTCATGGAAGTCACTGAAGCTGCACCAGAAGGAGCAGCTGCCTCAGGTACTCAGGAACAGAGAGAACCAGTGTCAGGCACTCCTGATACAAAGGAAGCAGCTGCGGGTGCGCCAGTTGCAGAAGAATCGAAACCTTCAGGTGGACCGTCTTCTGGATCGAAGCGACCTCAGGTGAAGAAGATGCCGAAGCGCCCAGCTGCGAAGCTGATGCCTCGGAAGAGAATCATCAAGGTCAAGAGCGAGACTGGATCAGGTGCCAAGCTACCTGGAAAGAATCGCTTCAAGAACAAGGAGACGAAGAGACGCCAGAAGGCGAAGTGGGAAGAAATTAAGAAGACTGCCAGAGAAGAGCGTGCTCAGCCTGCACCAGCCTTTGAGATTCCAGCCCGTGGAGGAGATGTGCCAGTTCGAAGTTTTTTCGACCCTGTTTCAGGCAGAAGAGAGACAATGGAAGTCAAGCCAATCGACAGGGAGCAGAAGTTTCGAACTGTGCAGTCAGGTTTTTCCAGGTACCCTACTGAGACTCGTACTTGCTACCAGTGTGGTGAAAAGGGGCACTTGAGTGCCAATTGCCCGCAGAAGATGAGGAGAGTATCACTCACTGAGGGCGTCATTAAGTACGAGGGGGCAGGGGAGACCCGGCCTCGAGTCAGGCTTCAGGGAAATATGGGAAGCATTCCTCAGGAGACCCCGGAGTTTGATGATGTCCGTCCAGAAGACTCAGCATCTCAGGTGGGCGGACAATACCTGGGAACTATGTCTACGGTTGGAGGAGGTGTCAAGAAGAACTTGCCACCACCACCACCTCCACCTCTGATGGGTGGAAGCCCAAAGATCGCCAGGAGCAGACCAGGTGTTCCGCCGCAGACTTCAGCACCTATGCGGCCACCACCAGCACCTACAGCACCAAGACTTCCGGCTAAGTTTTCTCAGGACCCACCTCTGGGAGAAGCAGCCTCCTCGAGCAGAGATGTGAGGAGACCTAAAACTCCACCCAAGACACCGCCAAAGAGACCCCCAAGCAAGGCACTGCCAGTGAAAGGTGCGCCACAGAAGACCCAAGGGACAGAGAAGGCAAAAGGGACAGAGAAGTCCAAAGCGACTGAGAAGCCCAAGGCGACAGAGCCACCAACAGAGATCCGAGGTTCGGTTGGGAGAGTCGTGGAAGAGGCAGCTAAGGCGGCACCTGCGACTGTGGACCTTGTGACGCCGAGCACAGCTGTGGATGTTGGAACCCCGGTTTCAGACAGTGCGGGACATGGGGATGTCCATCTTACAGTGCCACAGGGTTCTGGAAGATTGTCAGCACTTACAGTGCACCAACCGACGCCAGCGAACTCACAGGCGGCGACGCCTACATCTCCAGCAGGAGATTCCCTTGTGGCTGGAGAAGCACCAGGACAAAGTTCAACTCACTGGTCGAATGCTCCGGTGATTTCACCGGTACCATCTACACCACCGCCAGCACCGGTGGGAGGCGAGACAGAGGTTTGTGTGGCATGCCAAGGGAGTGGATTGCTGAACTCGCAGGTGAATCTGCGATTGTTCCGACTTATCGGAACGGGGCAGCTCCGTTTGGCGGGGCCGATTGCCCAAGTTGCACCTGCGACCCCGGCTCCGGCCGCACCTACAACACCAGCTCCGGCAGCTGCAAATCCTACTGGACCTGGTAACGGGACCGAAGTCAGTCCAAGCCTCAGTGAGAACTCAGGTAGATCTCGTACTCCAATTCGTTCAGGTGTTTGCAGTGTGACTGAAGATGGAAGTATGACCATGTTTGATTCAGGTGGAAATCTTTTGATTTTGGAGCTTTCTTCAACTCAACGTCAGGCCAATAAGTTCTTGAAGAACTTTGCTGAGGGATCTTCCGGTAGTGCGGATTCACAGAAACTGATTCAGGTACACATTTCTCTTCCCTGTACTGGGG